GTAGTACCACTAGTGTTGGTCGTAGAGTGACAGACTGTACAAATGTTCTGTCAACTATAGCAAAACAGGTCTTGAGATTCAGTTATATTTCTGATCCTATCATTCACAAGAATTTCCTCCCATTAATGAACTCAAATGCCAACTAAAATTTTCAGGCCCCATCCCCAAAAATTAAAAGCTCAGTTACATATTATACATCGCTATCTGAAATTTTCTCGCGCTTACGCCACTCGATTCCATTATAGCATCATTCTTTCACTCCCCCGTCGTCTTATAGTATACTATCTCATCACTATCATATTCACAGTTGTAGTGAACCGCCCAGTCAGTGCAAAATGTGTGCTTATCTTGCATAGCAAGCGCTGGTAACAGATTTCTTTCAAATATGCTTTGAACCCTATCGATATAACCTTAAAAACGTACTAGCCGGGACAAAGCTTTATATGTTAAAAAAGACAGACAATTGCGTTTTCAATGTAAATTTGTTATAGAAATTAAAATAGATATGTATAATGTGTGTATATATATACAAAATATGTCTCAGAGTGCTTTTCCTGTGAAAATATGTCTCGGAGTGCTTTTTGAACAGAAAATGTAGTTCAGCAGTCTTTAAAACATAGGAATCGACACATTGATCATGCAAATCGGACAACTACAAATATTTCTAAGCAAAACATCAACTTCGGGTGGCCATTTGGCGGCCATCTTGAAAAATGGGCGCCATTTTGGATTTTCAATTGGCCAATCGGGCAGATTTGATAAGTATCCCTTGGAGAACAATTGTGCCAAATTTGATGCTTGTATAGTCACTTGCACGATTCTTCCCAAAAATTACCCTTATCTGCTCCACATACTCAAAGAATAGATAACAAACCTCATCTCTCAACCGTCCGTGTTTCGAGATAAGAGATGGCCATAGTGCTACGTTGCAAAGCCAAACGCAAATCACATCGGGACCCTGTAAGCAAAATTGACAATATTTTTCATCAAAACGACGATTGATTATTGTTATTTATAATATTTCTGCCACATTCAACTATACAATTAAGCATATAATCCTACCTGAAATTTAAAATCAAAGCGTTACTAGGAACGCCATTTTTTATAGTGTCACGTAGCAAAGCCTAACGCATGTCACATATTCGGGAATCAGTAAGGAAATTGACAATATTTTTCATCAAAACGAAGATTTATTGTTGTTATTTATATTATTTCTGCCACATTCAACTAAATGTACAATTAAGCATATAATCCTACCTGAAACGGGTATAAATCATCGTATTTTACTAGGAGGGGCCATTTTTAAACGAGAGATGTATAACGGTGTATCTCGAATAAAAACAACGCTTCATTAATTCAAACGCGAATATTTGGAGTTAGGCGATAATTGTGCCACTACAATTGGCCTCTGTAAGTTTAATTAGTCATAATAGTATAAAAGTATCTTATTTTTAAGATGTTATATGCATTAATAAAGAAACTGGGTTTGCCACTTGGAACTATTATAAACTCAACCAATCGTAGCTAAAAACAAGCACACCGGTATAACGGTGTATGTCGAATAAAAACAACGCTTTATTAATTCAAACGCGAATATTTGGAGTTAGGCGATAAGTGTGCCACTACAATTGGCCTCTGTAAGTTTAATTAGTCATAATAGTATAAAAGTATCTTATTTTTAAGATGTTATATGCATTAATAAAGAAACTGGGTTTGCCACTTGGAACTATAAACTCAACCAATCGTAGCTAAAAACAAGCACACCGCCGGTATATCTCAACGTTTTTAGCTACGTTCTCGTATAACTTAATTCTAAAAAATGTCATTTCTTTAGAATACTATAAATTATTTTGGATTTAAATTTCCTGAAAATGGTATTCAGTCGGGTGATAACGGTTTATTAGCTGTACGTGATTATCCTGTTCCACGTACATGGGAAGAGGTTCGTTCTTTTCTTGGTTTATGTTGTTATTTTATGTGTTTTATTCCTAATTATGCTGATTTTGCTTTACCATTAAGTAATTTAATTTTGCATCAAACTTATAAGAGGACAAATGCAACTGAGAACTCTTTTCAAACTCTGAAAAAATGTTAAGTCACTGAGCCTGTTCGCACCCATCCAGACTTTATTAATACTGCTAATATTCTTATAATGCAAACTATAATGCAAGTGAAACTGATTTGGCTGGTGTATTTCTCCAAGCTGATAGTGATTGTTTAAAACATCAAGTTACGTATGCGTCAAAGAAATTAACAAAAACTGAACGTAATTATTCAACTATTCATAGAGAAGCCTTAGCATTATATATGGGCGGTGAGAAAATTTCGTGATTATATTTATGGTCGTAGATTTTTGTTGTGTAATGACCATAAACCGTTAACTTTTATTATGACGTACAGAATATCAGTTTGATATTGAACATGTGAAGGGTATTGAAAATACTGTTAGTGGTGATTTAAGCTGAGCTCCAATTGATGATTTTGAAATTGATGAAATAACGCGTGGTAAGATTAATAAGCAAGATACGTGTATTATTGAACGTGCTCATTTTTTAGTACATTTCGGTGCTCAACGTACTTTTCAGAATTAGCTAAACTTGTGAACTATAAAATTACTTTAACAGAAGTACAATCTTTTGTTCGGAAGTGTAAAACTTGTGTTGGTGGACCTCGTGCAGTTCCGGGAGCCCATTTGGTACTACTGACACTGCGTCTATTCCATGGGAAATTGTTCATTGTGATTTTGTAGGTCCGTTCCCTGTATCAAGTTCTGGTCTTGAATACATATTTATTTCATGGATGATTTAACAAGACTTGTAATAGCGTGGCCTTTACGAGTAGCTTCGACTTAAACAGCTATTACTGACTGTGCTTGATAGACTTTTCGATTTTTGGACCTCCTCGCATTCTTCACAGTGATTAGGCCTATATACATGTAATTCTGTGTTCACATCCAAAGACTTTCAAGCTTATAGCGAGAAATTCAACATTAAACTAAGTTATATGCCTATTTTTCATCCTCGGGATAATCCGGTAGAGCGTTCTCATTGTACTTTGAAAGCGTCTTTGCAAAAAACTACCTCTACTGAGAAAAATTGGGACATCCCGTTACCAGAAATTGTGTTTACTCATAATTCTGTTTCGAATAAAACTACACAAATTCCGCTATGTTTGGTAGACATAGTTCTATTACTCAGATATTATCTGATGATCAAGCTTGTCTTCGAGAAGAAAATGGTTTGCGTGAAATTTGGACATTTTTTGCTGACCGACAAAAACTGGCTAAAGAGAGTCGCCGCAGAAAGAAACTGAAAATCGCCGGTCTCGTTCTTTTGAAATTGGTCAAAAGGTCGCTGTTAAAATTCTTAATGGGTAGAGAGAGAAATGGCCTTTAACGTCCACTCGACACAAACTAGGTCATTTCGGGACTAACACATGGTTGAATTTTTTATTTCAATAATTCGCTTGCGGGTAGGGATCTTTAGCAGTGAGAGGAAACCGGAGGACCCGGAGAAAACCCACGATGTTGGACTGGTGACCCTACTTCTTGTCACGTACAAACGGGGAATCGAAACCACGCCAGTTGACTCAATGACAGACCTCATGATATAGCACGCACGTGCTAACCATTAGGCCATCCAACCGCCCTAATTCTTAATGGACCTAAATTCAAAAAAGAACATTTTCAGTTAGGTTTTATTGTTCAAAAAATCTATGGTGATTTTCTTAGTGTTACTAATACGGATCGTGTTCATAGAAAAAATATTATTGTTAGTAAGGACCTGGTAGTTCCTGATAATTCTGTTTAGATATTTGCTTTAAATTTTCATAAAATGTTTATACAATAATTTGCATTTTATGTTATATTTTCCATTTATTATTATAGCCATTGACTTCTGAAAGAGGGGGGAAATGTGGGTATTGATTTTATACAGTTAATTATGCATTGTAGCCTATATATTGTGGCCTACTGTTTACATACCAACCATAAACGCACAGGATCCCATATGATCAAACTTTGTGGATGAGAAATAAATCTGTCATCCGAAAAATCTGTAATTTACTGCCCAGAAATATGCTATACTTGTATATGCTTGAATTTTTGGGCATAAACAATTAAATTATTATATACAACTGGAGACACATTTGGGGGAAGCACCCCATCAACCCAACCTAATACAACTGGTCCCGCTGTGAATCTTACTCAATCTTTATGATCACTGAGATATATGACAATAAGGATGACTTTGTAATTAGGACTTTTGTGCAAGTAGAATTTATTTCAACTTGTGAAATAAATGATTGTTAACAATTGAATATTTCAGGCATTAGGAGGCAGACCACCATTAAATTTCACCATATATTTATAGCAATTCTCTCTTTGTCTCTTTTTTCCCCTTTTGCATGCCCATTTTGTTAATTTTTTTGGTCTAGAATAGACGAAGGAGGTTTGAATTAACATTTTCTGCCAGGTTTTGGTAAATATTCACGATTTTGAGGCGGAAGGATAACGGGGTTATCGCAGGTTGGCTACGGGGATATGTACGGCAAGTAGTTACATGTTTTTTTTAGTATGTTTCTTAAAGTTTGTGTATCTCAAAATTTTGGTGGTCAACCTCATAAAAATTTTAGTGCAAAGACATGACCATTTGTTCCTCTATCTGTAGTGAAAAGCATTCAGCCCAACGAAAATTTTGGGAAAAGTTGGAGGTGGGCAAAGAGGCCAGAATTAACATTGAAGTCAATGGGGAAATTAATGGTGGTCTGCCACCGTTAGGTGATGTACGAGTTAGCTCCCGTAGACCAAAACTTGCTACCAGGAATGAGTCATGAGATGAGTGGCGACACGCGTATGTAAATAAAGCCCACAAAAAGAAATCAATGAAATAAATAATACACCTATTACCAATCTGATAAAAATAGATATCAAATATATGAAAGGTTCTGTTTGTGAACAGCGTTTTAAGATTAAAATATGTATGCACTTTTGTGGTGGAGATTATAAAGATGGCCGCCAATGTTGATTAGTAATTTTAGTTTTAGTTCAAGAATAAAGAACCCATCTAATTTTCATTCATACAGGCCTAATATGCGGATGTATTAATGTTGACATGCCCAGTAACTATTAACAGATAAACTAAAGATTACGTAAGAATTAAAAGGTAATTATTTTATTGCATTTTGATAGATTTTTATTGCAGTCAGAAGTGTCATCATTCAATTCATTGTCCACATCTTCTTAGTACGACTATGTAGTTCACCATGTCATCTGTAGAAGTCACGAGTTCAGTCTCAAGCGATCCGAAGGACCCGGTTGATACACACCTAGACAACACAATTAAAACAAATAAAAGTAAACAAAACCGACTGCTCCTCACTTATAATCCCAAGATAATGCTAGGCCCTAGGGTAGGGTAGGCCTACATCATGATCATGGACCTTATTATAATACTAAATTACTATAAGTTCCGTCCATGTATGGTTACATGTAAGTCTGCATGTAACAACAGGTTGCGACACAGGACAGACTCTTAGACCAGAGCACTTTATTATCATTGGTCAATTAAAAGCCTTTTCTAGGATTTTACAAATGTATCAAATAAACACTCTGATTTTTGACACAGATGTCAGACCTAACAGTTTACAATTACCTCAATGTATCAGTTGCATAATTCCTCTATGGACAGTGTTGTAAGGATATGGTTTATTTCAAAATTTATTGCTCATCATGTTTTCCGTTTTGGCCATTCTTAGCATTAGAAAATAAATAAGTTGAACCTGTATTATATCTATAGGCCTACATGTAGATGTGTCTTCTTATGAGAAATTCACAGAGCAATATCAAATTTGATAATATGTATGGTTGTTTTTAATGTGACTTGCAAATGTAGGGCTACTTCCATCTGATACTTCGTAGATGATAATATAGCAAATATACACATCGGTGTGATGCCCTTATTGAAAAATTAGTATTTTTGTTGACAGGATATAAAGACCATCCATTCCTTTCTTTTAATCAAATAATGGATGGTTAGATAACTACTTACATATGACATTGATGTAATTTATACAGTATTTCAAAGCCATGAATCTTCTTCCCATAGAAATACAGACTATGTATTTAAATATCAAGAATGCTGATCAGGATCAAACTTTTTAACCAATACTGGGGTCTGTCTTAAAGGGACTATTCCGATTTGAACAGAGTCTCAAAAATAAAAGTCCGAGTATGTATGAAATTTTGAAAATACGTTGTTTACGAGACAATTTTTGTTATTTTTCAAAATTTTCAAATTTGACCTACATTTTTGGATACCTGAAGACAATCCGATTCCAAAAATATAAGTTTCATTCCAAGTTATCGCCCTTTGTTTTTCGATTATTTTCGAATTTTCTGCCCATTTCCCAACCCTTATATTTTTTGGAAAGGATAAATCGATATTTCTGAAAGTCCTGGAACATAAAGCTCTATAGTCAGACCGCTTGATAAAGCAATTTCAACAACGGTCCGGAAACCGGAAGTAGTCGAAATAATGATAGATATTTCGAAAAAAAAGCAAAAAATGGGTGTTTTGGGGAAAAACTCGATTTCTCCGTCCATTATCAATGGATTAAACAAATTAAGTTTTCGTTGAGTGGCCCAAGGAATGGACTGTCGAATGATGCCCAATTTATACGGATACTATGACCAAGCAGCAAAATATGACAAGCTGAAAATCAAGTATTTTCTGATTTGGAGCGTTTTTGGACGCCTTTATCTCAAAAACTTAACCTACAATTTTTTTTTAACTTTCTCTATCGAGAGTCCCTCCGGTAGTCTTGTGCATGAAAACATCCAATAAGTCTTTGAAATGTCTGGAATAGGATAAAAAAGGGACTGAAAATCGAAAAAAGTCGAAAAATCGTAAAATTTTGGAAAATGCTAAATTATTTTATTATTTAATCAGATTTTTACGAAAAGGTTACACATTCAGATACCTGACCTAATTACGATTCTAACGATGTATAATATGTATTGAGTTATTGAAATTTATTTTCGATATTTTGACATTTTTGAATTTTTGGCACTTTTGAACATAGGATTTCTCAGGGCCATTTTATCTGATCAGATAATGTAATATATCATTACAGAGCCCTGTGGCTATCTAATTGTCCAAATTGGTTATTAAAACTATCCTGACAATAATCTCCATACCGGACGTATTCAAAAAATGAAGAAAAAGGTTAAAAAAATTAGCGCTCTTGCGAAAAACTTGATTTCTCCATCAGACCTTAGCGGACCAAAAGAACTAAAGTGTCGCTGGATAGCCCCATTAATGGACTATCATATGACATCTGAATGATACGATTTAGATGGCTAGAAAATAAATTATGGTACGCCGAAAATCTAGTATTTTCCGTTTTGGAGCATTTTGAGAGGCCTTTTTCTCAAACACAACAACTACGTTTTTTCTTAAACTTTTTTTACTCAGATTCCTATGGGTGGACTATGGCGTGAGTCCAAAAATAAAAGCATTGAAATAACATAAGTTGTCCAAAAAGAGCCTCAATCTTGGAAAAAAGTTGAAAAATCCTCAAATTACTGAAAATGCTCTTCTATTATTCTTTGTTTTGAAAACAGCTCAATGGGTATTTCTGAAACTTCCGGTACAGAAAGTTAACTATCCAAACAACATGTTAAAACTATCCCGACAATGATCCAAAAACCGGAAGTAGTCGAAAAAATATCCAATATTTTGAAAAAAAAACCTTAAAAAGTAAAAAATGGTGATCTTGCGAAAAAAGTGATTACAACCCCATATTTCAACGAATCAAAACAACTAAAGTATCATTGGATAGCCCGAACAATGGACGATCTTATGACATCTCAATTGTAAAAAAATCGCTGGTTAGGTAATACATTATGAGATTCTGAAAATCTAGTATTTTCCTTTTTGGAGCCTATTCAGACGCTTTTATCTCGAAAATTACTCTTATTTCCTTTCTTAAACTTCTGTTAGTTAGAGTCCTAACGCTGGTCTGGGGTATGAATCCAAATTTAAAAGCCTCAATATAGTATAAATGGTCCAAAAGGGCCACAATCTTTGAAAAAGTCGAAAAATCGTTATATCTGTAAATCTGCTTCTAGTGGTATAAGGGAGGTAAAACTGTCCAATGGATCTTTCTGAAACTTCTGGTACAGGAAGTATAGTTCCAAAACCACTTGTTAAATCTATCCCGATAATGATCCGTAAACAGGAAGTAGTCAAAAAAATATTCGATATTTAAAAAAAAAGACAGTAAAAAAATCGGTGCTCTTGGAACAATCGGGATTTCACCGTCGGGTGTGACCGGATCAAAATATCTAAAGTACCGTTTGGTAGCTCGATAAATGGGCTATTGTATGACACACTTCCTATCTGATTCCTGAAAGCCGGTTAAGTGCTGCTTGCAGGTCTAGTTCTTCTTATTATTATTATTATTATTATTTTTCCATTTGAGCATATCTCAGAAACTACTTGTCGGATCGATTCGATGTCTTCAGTTTTACTGGGAAAGTGGGTTTTACTTAAATTTTAAAGCTATTTCCAACGTTCTGCGACAATGCGAAATGTCCGAAATCACCGAAGTTGTCGTTTTTCGATATTTTGCCGTAATGTTATCAATAATTGTCAGATTGTAATATTTGATACATTTTGACATAGCCAGAGACAAGGCACATAGCTAACGTTCTTTGGATTTTTTTATTTTCGACGAATCTTCGCAGATATTAGGCGCCAAATTTTGAAAATTTGGCGCCTAATATCTGCGAAGATTCGTCGAAAATAAATTAACTTATCAATTAACTTTTATTGTTCTCTACCAGGCACTCATCATTAATTATCAACACACCACTCAGTATAATCTGTTGACGCCTATTGTATTTATACAACTCTATAACACCAATCACGAGATTGGCTTCTATACGTGTGCATTCTTGTATAGTTACATAGTGGAGATCGATAGTAGCCATGTTTGAAAATTGGGTTTTGGAAAAAAAGACTCTCTTTCCGGCGTGCAAAATGACCGTTAGGTCAGATCTAGGAACGGTCATTTGCCATAGCCGCAGGTCTCGACTGGCATATACGGCCGACGTGGAACCCATGGTTAAAGGGTCATCTGATTTGGCAACCGTATTTTTCCTTGGCCCCCATTGGCTAATTCAGTTTTTCAGTCCTGAATTAATTATTTATTGTTCGATTTGTATAAAACAAAGTTCATATGTTCCGCGGTCCAAAATGTCATTTTTTTTGTTGCCGGTACATTTTCCTTTCGGCAACAGAAGTAACATAAATTAGCAAAAACTGCAATTTTGAGAGTTCGGTACCACTTTTTGAAAGCAAATATTATTTTTTCAAATCTGGTATGACTGAAAGGGTTTGCCCTGTTAATGCACAGAAATCATCGCGCTCAGTTTTTTAAATTTTTATTTCGTTTTCGGATCATTTCGATTTAAAGGTGAAAAAATGAGCTAATCACAACCCATTCAGGCTTTTCATATTTTAAAATATTTCTTCGCAACTTTCATAAACTAGTAGCAATAATCCATACGAAGAGAATGTATGTGAAAATTAATTTGTAATATGAACAGTTGCCGAGAAATGGGCAATTTTGTATGAGTCACTTTTTGCGCTAGTTTGACTGTATAAGAGTCAATTATTATTCGATTTTCATAAAAGTGACACCATTTGATGCGAAATGTCAATTTTAACAAGGTCAAACCAATTTAACATTTTCAATGTCACCGCGAATGACGTAATTTGGGAAAAAATTGTATTTATAACCTTCAAAACCAGTAATTTATTCAAATGAGTCTTATTTGTTATTTGTTTAAAATTTTGATATTTGATTCCAATCAACTAATAGAATGAACCCAAACGATCATATAGATATCACAAAATGGTTTCTAACTTGTTCAGTTGCGGAGAAATAGACGATTTTCAACAGGTAACTTTTCAAGGTTTTTGGTCCATAAAAGTGTCAATTATTATTCGATTTTCATAAAATTCCCCGTGTGTGATACCTAATGCCATTTACGATTTCATACAAGTAATTTAACACTTTTACTGTTACCGGAAGTAACGTCATTGTGGCAAAAACTGTATTTTTAGCCTTCAAAACATATTTTATTCAAATGAGTCTG